TTTTTGAAATTGGAGTCTCATTCCGTCACCCAGACTGGAGTGCAGTGGCATGCTCACGGCCATCCCAGCGTCAACCTGCTAGACTCTGGTGATCCTTCTGCCTCAGCCTTCCAAGTAGCCAGAACTACAGGCGTGCGCTACCATACCCAGATAATTTTTTATTTATTGTAAAAACAAGGTTTCCCCAAGTTGCCCGGGCTGGTCTTGAATCTATGGGCTCTGGAGGTCCACTTGCCACAGCCTCCCAAAGTGCTAGGATTCCAGGCTGAGCCACCGATCTTTTCAAGTGATTATTATTTAGTTATGATAGTTTCAAATATATTCTGGTTACTATCCTTTATCAAATATGTGTGTCATAGATCTTTTCTCCCCATCTATATCTTGTCTTTTTATTGTCTTAACAATGTCTCTTGAAGAAATTTTAATAAGTTCAGTTTATTAATTTTTGTACTTTTTGTGACCTCTCCTAAGAAATAGTTGACTAACCCAAGGTCGCAAAAATTATTTTTCTTTTTTTCTTTTGGAAGCTGTATTGTTTTAACTTTTATATTTAGGCCTATGATCCTTTTAGAACTAGTGTTTATATATTGTACACTCTGGGGTTGTTTTTGCTTTTGTTTTTTTTGCAATTGGATGTCCAGTTATTCTGGTACAGGTTGAGCATTCCAAATCCAAAAATCTGAAATCTGAAGCTTTTTTAGTATCTATTTATTTTTTAGTTGGAGTTTCACTTTGTCACCCAGGCTGGAGTGCAGTAGCTCACTCATAGCCACCGCAGCCTTGACCTGCTGGGCTTAGGCAATCCTTCCAGCTCAGCCTTCCAAGTAGCTAGAACTAGAGGCATGCACCACCATGCCCAGCTAATTTTTTTCTTCTTTCTCAGGCAGTCCTCTTGCCTCCACCTCCCAAAGTGCTGGGATTACAGGTGTGAGCCACTATGCCCGCCTGAGTATCAACATGATGCTCAAAGGAAATACCATTTGAGATTTTGGACTTTTGGGTTTGGGCTGCTCAACTGGTATAATGCAAATATTTTAAAAATTCAAAATTTGAAGCACTTGTGATCCCAAGTATTTTGGATAAGGGAGACTCAACCTGTATACTTAGTCTCTTATACAGATCTTTCATCAGTGTTAAGGGGGGAAAGCAACCCCAGTTATTTAAAGGAGACAGGAGACACTTGGTACCACGCCTACAAAATACTCTTACACAGTGTACTAACTCTTCTGCTTGGGTTTTGGTTTATATTTTTTGTCATATAGTTGCTTAAAAATTTAAGACCTTATTCTTATTAAGACACGAAAATATCTAGGTCACTGGAATTTTTTAGTGAAATTAAAATGACACCTGTGTTTTTTTTCCCCATCCTCCAATAGTTTACTCTTTAACCTTCAGTTTGGCAGGGGTTATGGTTATTTTTAGAGCACAAGCAGTAGAGCTAATCTAATTAAACTTCTCCAACTACCTGGGGCAGTGAGCTCATCAGCTCTTCCAAGCTCAGCATGGTTTGCTGTAGACTAGATATTACATGGAAGTTGATCAGAGTAAAAAGAGTGGATTTTTTTAGAATACAGTGCAATGAAGGGTGAAGAAGATAGTTTGGATTTGGGTCAAATATGGTCTCTAGCCTCAGATTGTAAAACAGAATTGTGTTCTTTGGTGATGGAAAAGATTCTTGAGTGCCTCCTGTACTTAAGACCTAGGGCATAGCATCTCTGCCTGCTTGCTTGCTTGAAACAGGGTCTCACTATTTGTTATTTTGCACAGGCTGATCTTGAACTCCTGAGCTCAAGTGGTTCTTTCATCTAAGCCTCCTGAGTAAGTAGAATCCAAGTGCATGCCACTGTGTCCAGCCCTTTGCCTGCTCTAATTTGGACAGTGTCTTCGCTCAGGCTGCTATAACAAAATACCATGGACTATGTAGCTTAAATATTAGAAATTTATTTTCTCATAGTTGTGGAGGCTAGAAGTCCAAGATCAAGGTTCCAGCATGGTTGGTTTCTGGTGAAGACTTTCTTCTGGCTTGTAGGTGGTTATTTCTCTATGTCCTCAAATGGCAGGGTGCCCAGGAGTGAGAGAGCTGGAGCAAGCTCTCTGGAGTCTCTTATAGGAGCACTAATTGCATCATAAGGGCCCCAACCTCATGACCTCATATAAACTTAGCTATCTCCCAAAGGCCCCATCTTTAAATACCATCACCTTGGGAGTTATGGCTTCAACATATGGGTTTGAGATGGGAGGAATAGTACACAGTTACTCTAATTTCTGCCTTAGAGTTGAAATTGTTTTAAGTTTCTTCATTTTGATTGAAATTAATATTGTAAGAATAACAACCCATCCCCAGAGTTGTTATATTTTATTATTTTCATCATTTCTTGACTTTCTAGAGAATCGGTCCCCCAACATGGGAATTTATGCACCCCAGGGGGTATGCAAGATGATCCAGTGGTATATTGAAAAAGAATGTTGAAATATCTATTTGTTTTTTTCTAGAAAAATTAAGCTTAGTATTTAATGTGGATTATGTGTGTGTGTGTGTGTGTGTGTGTGTGTGTTTGTGTACACACGGATCGGGCATTTGTGATCAAAGCTTTCATTGATAGAGGTTCATAATCAAAATTTTGAGACCCTTGGAAGGCTGAGGTGGAAGGATCGCCAGAGCCCAGCAGGTTGAGGCTGCGGTGGCCGGGAGCGGCCACTGCACTCCAGTCTGGGCAACAGAGTGAGACTCCAACTCAAAAAAAAAAAATTTTGAGACCACTGCTCTAGAGTATCTTTCTGCAGAAATTTTAACATTAATTCTATTTATCTATATCATCTCTGCAATTTCTGTCTTACAAGTAGAGAAAATGAATTCCAGAGAAGATTTAAGCAGCTTGTTTAAGGGCACCAAGTTTGCTGATGGCTTAGCTGATACTGGAACTCTGAACTTATAATTCAAAATCAGTCAAGGACTGATTTTGCTTAACTATGTGTCTCCTATTATGTTACCTTTGGAAGTTATCTGCTTGTCAACTCAGTGATTAAACAGAAACAGGGTTGATTGACATAAGCATTCACAGGGTTTTCTCTGTTTCTGATTTAGCAATAAATTCTGTCAGCTTTTTTTCCCAAAGAGAAGATCCCTTCTTGAAAGAACCCTAAACCAGTTTCTCCAAAATACTAATCTGCAACATTGTGAGCTGAACCTTATGGCCCCCTTTTCCCGCTTCTCAGAGTTGATTGGGAGTTTAGACTTTGGATCCTCCTGGTCATGGGCTAAAAGTTCACGTAGTCAAGGCTCCTATAGGAGTTGGTAATTTAGTTTTGAGAGAGATTCTCTGAAGCTGTTTTTTTTTTTTTTTTCTTTGAGTCAGAGTCTCACCATGTTGCCTGGAGTACAGTGGTACCATCATGGCTCACCATAGCCTCAACCTCCCAGGCCAAAGTGATCCTTACCCCCTCAACCTCTTGAGTAGCTGGGACTGTAGTCCCTTGCCTACCATACCCGGCTAATTTTTTTTTGTACCCTGACAGAGGTGAGGTTAGGATTTCAGCCCCAGGCGTGGGAGGCTGGCTGCATGTTTTGATTTTTTTGTACACACAAAATCTTGCTAACTCCTGGCCTCAAGCAATCTTCCTGCCTCAGTCCCCCAAAGTGCTGGGATTATAGGCATGAGCCATTGTGGCCGGCCTGTTTTTTCTTTATGTTACTTCACATACCTGTTTTTTTATTGTCTTTGTCTTTCATCATCATTTTTCCAGGTGTCTTTTCCTCAAATTCAGCCTCAGCTCTACTCTTGCAGTATTTCTACTCAACCACCTTGGCTTGTTATGAACAATCTTTGGAAAGCCGTTGCATGACAGAGCAGACTTTCTATGAAGTCTGGCATGGATTTCTGTAGAGGAGGATGGAGGGTGAGGATAAGGACGGGGCTTCTTCTGGAATAATTATTATGGGAATGAAAGGGCTGTTGAAAGAGTAGAGGCCATTGTGCCTGGGTGCAAGGACTAGGGTCATAATTATACTTTGTCTTTTACCAGTGCCTTTTGTCTAAGGCACTGAAAGGGCTTAACAAAACTCTGGTCTGAATAATATTGTTCATTGCTCTTTGGATTTTATTGGAGGTGGCAGCAAGGCCCTGAAAAAAAATATGACTCTGTTACAGTAGCATAAAAGGAAATAAGCTATATACCCTGAATCCTAGTTAGGAAAAGATAAGTCTGGTGAAAGCTGGTAGAATTAGGTGAAATGATGTTTGTTACAGTATGAAATGGGATAAGATAATTTGAGGAAATGTTACCCTTTTCTTCCCCACCTTTGCATCTGGTAAATGATAGTCCTAAGAGAAACAAAAGAAATTTAAGTTCCTTTCTTAGGGGTAGGGTGCTCCAGAGTTCTAATTCTAGCTTTGTTACTTAGAATATTTAGTTGCTATCTGTGCCTTTAATAAGTTTGAAGCTAGGCATCTGAGTGAACATAAAGCCCAAGCTCTTATCCCAAAGGTTGATTTCTTCTGTCTCTATTCATTTGTGTGTATTATGATATTCAGAATCTGACCCACCTCTTTATGTTGTAAAAACAAGTGTTTTATGGAGTTTACAGATACATATGTGAATGCTTTCCATGGGAAGATCTTGCCTGGAAGGCAGTGCTGAAGCTAGCTTTTTGTGTTGAGTTGAAGCTCTTTACTTGTAGTACCTGTCACTTGATATGTGCCTGATGTTCCAGGTTTTATTTCAGTGCTCACTTTCCCATCTGAAAAACCACTGCCAGTTACTCAGTGAATAAGGTAAAGATATGACAATTGACCTCCACAAAAATATGTCACTTTATGGAGTTTAGACATTGAAAAAAAGTCCGCTGTGCTTTTCAGTAGCTGAGAAGCCCTGTTGTGCACAAGCATACAAATCATTTTTATAAAAATGATAAAGCCTGTGTTTGTTAAGTCACTTTGTCCTTTTGCATCTTTCCCAGGTTGTTTCCTAAGTGTTTTCTTTTCTTCCTCTCCCAAATCCAGGCTGGCAACAGCAGACATCATTCAAGATGTCCAGCAAAGGGAGCGGCACAGATGGCAAAACAGACTTAGCTAATGGTAAGAGGCCAAAATGAGGGGGAAGCTATTTTTACTATCATCTGAAGTTCTCCTCCTCCCCCCAAGGTAGAGTGGAGGCCTGGATTTTAGTGGCGGAAAGGAGCCCTTCCTGTGTTGTTCTGAGTATAGGAAACTGCACAGGAAACATCTTAGATCTTAGACTATGTGGTACTTTTGCTCTTTCACATTTTATCTGGTCATTTTCAAAAGATTAGTAACAGAACTGTTCTTCTAAGATGTCAAGTGGTTTGGAATTCTGAAAGGCCATAAGGGTGGATGAGTAGAACCTAGGAGATGCTATTAATAAAGGAAAATAATCAGATCCAACTGGTGGTGGGAATAAGGGAGTTTTGGGGAAGATAAGCTTCCCCAGTTATACTGAGAGGTGCTTTTCCATGATAGGTCACAGTTGGATAAAAAGATTACATAAAGCCAGGTTCGGTGGCTCAGCCTGTAATCCTGTGCTTTGGGAGACTGAGGTGAGTAGATTGCCTGAGCTCGCAGGTTCGAGACCCGCCTGGGCAACTTGGCAAGACCTCATCTCTACAACAAATCAAAAAAATCAGCCGGGTGTGGTAGCGCGCGCCTGTAGTTTGACTACGTGGAAGGCTGAGGCGGAAGGATCGCCAGAGCCCAGCAGGTCGAGGCTGCAGTGGCTGGGAGCGGCCACTGCACTCCAGTCTGGGCGACAGAGTGAGACTCCAACTCAAAAAAAAAAGATTACATAAGAAAGCTGGGCATGGTAGCACATGCCTGTAGTTCCAGCTACTTGAAGGCTGAAGCGGAAGGATCACCTGAGCCCTGCAGGTCGAGTCTGTGGTGGCCGTGAGCATGCCACTGCATTCTAGCCTGGGCAACAGAGTGAGACTCCAACTCAAAAAAGAAAATTACATAAGAGATGAAGTTACACCCCAAACCAACTGAGATTGGGTCTTCCTTCCCTACCTTTCTTTCCCTCCCTTATTTACTTTCTTTACTTGCCTTCTTTCCTTCTCTTCATTCCCTTCTCCTCCTTGCTTTTTTCAGGACCAGTGCAGCCAAGTGTTAAATTACTGGGTCTAGGCCATATTTGAAGGCAGAATACCAAAATTCTAATAGAGTATCATTACCACCTGGGTTATTTGACCAGCACTTCAACTCTGAGCCAGCTTTTAAATTAGAGAAACCTCCCTTTTTTTTTTTTGGTAAATATGTGGGATACAATTTAGAATTCAGTACATATGTGGTCATCGTACAGGTGAAGTTTGGGCCTCCATTTGGTCCCCACTTCGCCTGGGAGAAACCTCCTTCAAATGAATGTTCTTAGGCAACACAGAGTCCAGCCATGGAGTCCACCATAGAGTCAGGATTATAGGCTAAAGTCTAGTTAATGTAATTGATAGAGCAGTGAAGTTGGGGAAGGGTAGATGAGATTTTCAACATGCTTTTCTGTTGCCACTTTGTTCTTTTCTTACCATTGTTTCATCTTTTGTTTAAAAAAAAACAAAAGATGAAACAATGGTAAGAAAAGAACAAAGTAGTTCAGATTTTTCACTGGGCTTAGTAGTTAAAAGGTACAGAGTTCTAAAGGAGTTTAGAGTATACTGTTGATTTGGTGCTTGGCCATTAGCTAGATGAGGGATTGGCAAACTAGGTATTGCTTGTAGGCCAAATCTAGCCTGCCACTTGTTTTGTAAAGTTTTACCGGAATCTAGTCATGCCTATTCATTTATGAGTGTCTATGGTTGCTTCTGTCCTACATGATGGAGTTGAGTATTTATGGTGGAGCTCTATGTGGTCTGCAAGGCCTAACATTTTTTTTTTTCCTTTTTGAGTTGGAGTCTCACTCTGTCACCCAGACTAG